CCGGTCATGGGGCCTGAACTCTGGGTCTGGGCGCTGTCCCTCAGCTCTTCAGCTCAAGGCGAGCGCTCTACCACTGGAGCCACAGCGCCACTTCCCGCTTTTTCTGTTTATGTGGTGCTGAGGAATCGAACCCAGGGCCTCATGCTTGCAAGGCGTGCGCTCTACCACTGAGCCACCTTCCCAGACCCTTTAGTGGATTTCTTTGAGGCATCAAAGCCTCTTTCTGCAGTGATTGCCAACGACAGAGCAACACCCCGTGAACAGCCATTTTGTTCTCTGCTCGTTGGCCTTGTGAAATTCTGATTGGCCAAGTCGCTAATAATCAACTCTTACTGAACTGTTTCTACTCTTTCATACTTAGGAGAAGCTGAGATAAACATCCTACTTGTGTATTTCTGCCATTATGGGATCATCTCAGAAAAACTGAATAGCCAGTCAAAGGGCAAATAAAAAGACTTTATACCTTTAGGAAGTGTCTATTTATTCCAATTTATGCCTCCACTGGACACTGTCTCCTCTTTACCGTCAAGACAGTCGCTCACTATGTAACCAAGTCTGACCTGGAACACGCTATGTAGTTGAGATGTTTCTCCTGTATTAGGCTTTTGAGTACTGGGATTATAGGCACACATCACCATGCCCAGCTCTCTTCTCCAATTCCAGACTGTAAAATGAGAACCAACCTTTCTCCTTTAGAAGTTTCTGGCCATCTAAGGTTCTTGCCTTTGCATTTCCAGTTTGGAAACTTTAATTTTCTAAGGAACTGTTCGTGTTTTCATAGCAACTCATAAAATACTTTGTGTGTGAACATCCACATACACAGGACATTTTCTTCTACTTTATAATTGTTTAAACATTAAAAACCGTTATAGTGGGCACATTATGGAATAATTATTATTTTTTGTCAGTGGTGGGGCTTGAACTCTGGGTTTGGGCACTGTCCGTGCGCTCTTCAGCAAAAGGCGAGAGCTCTACCACTTGAGCCACAGTGCCACTTCTGGTTTTCTAGTGGTTTATTGGAGAAAAGAGTCTCACAGAGTTTCCTGCCTGGGCTGACTCTGAACCATGATCCTCAGATCTGAGCCTCCTTAGTAGCTAGGATTACAGGCGTGAGCCACGGGCGCCTGGCACATTATGGAATTCTTATTCCTTTTTCTTTCCTATTATTTGTCTACACTACATTCATTATTACCTCTAGTAGTTTTGGTTGATGTCTTTGATATTCAGTAACAGCTACTCCAAGAAATCATTTATTTTGTCCCTTCCTTTCTAGTTTTTTCCCCTGTGCCATTATTGGGGCTTGAGCTCTGTCAGGGCTTGGATGCTGTCCCTTAACTTTTTTTTGCTGAAGGATGAGGTGCTGTACCACTTCAGCCAAAGCTCCATTTTTGGTGTTTTCGTGGTTAACTGGAGTTAAAAGTCTCTCAGAATTTCTTGACTTGGTTGACTTTGAACTCCAATCCTCAGATCTTAAGTCTCCTGAGTAGCTAGGATTACAGGTATGAGCCACCAACACCTGGCCTTTCTAGTCTTTCTAGTGTTTCTTCTTTTTCTCTCTTTCTCTCCACTCTCTTTTTCTCCTATACCAGGTATTGAATTTAGGGCCTTGTGCCCACCAGTATGTACTCTTTTGTAACTTCTTTTCTGATTGCTCTTTCAGTTCTTAGAGCAACACAAAGAATTTTTTTTTTTTAGGCTTTAGTTGGTGTTACTGGCATTCACCACTCACAGTAATTTTAGACAAGCGCATTACCACTTCAGCCACACCCCTAGTCCTTCACGATGGTTTAAAAAAATCTTATTAAAGAAGTATCTATAAACTTTTTATTTTTATTTTTTAAACTTTTGTGCCAGTCCTGGGGCTTGAACTCAGGATTTGGGTGCTGTCCCTGAGTTTTTCTGCTCGACTGTTACTGTATCACTTGAGTCACAGGAGATAAGAGTCTCAGGGACTTTCCTGCCCAGTCTGGCTTTGAACCATGATCCTCAGATCTCAGCCTCCTGAGTAGCTAAGATTACAGGCATGAGCCAGCTCTAATTAAGTTTTTTTTTAAATATTAGGAATGGGAATTAACTGTCACTGACTGCCTTTTGGGCTTACATAAAGATAATAAGCTTATCTTCTTTGATCTATTGATATCATGGGAGTCATTAATAGATTTCCTTACACTGAACCATCTTTCCATGAGGGAAGGACCTCAGCTGGATTTACTCTCGTGTACTGCTTGATTCTATTTGGTAACATTTTATTTATAATCCTTACCTTATTCTTCTTTAATGCTCTGCACCCTCCCTTTTCCTGACCGACCAGCTGGATGTTCACTCTGCTCTGCCCTGCATGGCTTCCACGGGCAGTGGGAACCCCTGGCTGGCTTCCATGGGCAGAAGGGACCTTTGGGTGGCTTCCATAGGCACTGGGGGCCCCTGGGTGGCTTCCACAGGCAGTGGGGATCCCTGGGTAGCTTCTGCGGGCAGAGGGGAACCCCTGGATGCTCTTGTCATGAGCAGAGGAAAAAGTGACACCCAGGTTTGACTCAGAGCTACCTTTAACATGCTTCAAAAGTTTGCTCTTTTTTTTTTTGGTTGGTCGTGGGGCTTGAACTCTGGGCCTGGGTGCTGTCCCTCAGCTCTTCAGCTCAAAGTGAGCGCTCTACCACTTGATCGACAGCATCACTTCTGGTTTTCTGGTGGTTCAGTGGAGATAAGAGTCTCACAGACTTTCCTGCCTGAGATGACTTTGAACTGTGATCCTCAGATCACAGTGTCCTGAGTAGCTAGGATTACAGGCCACCAGTGCCCGGAGTTTGTTCTTTCGTTGCTGTAGAGTGTTTTGGTATAAAAGTGCTACACTGGAGCTCAGGATCTGTCGGCTTTGAGCAGACCTTGCTGTAGCCCCAAGTCCGGGACCATGTGGGTGGTACTCACAAGGTAAATTCTTCCTCGCACATGAGGTCAGTAGTGTTTTTTGCTAGGATGCTGGTGAACCTCTGAGCAGGGTCATTCAGCTGGGCGGTGCACACTAGATTAGAGGAGCTGCCTACAACCAAAGAAAGGAATGTCTGTCATACTGGCTTATTCTCCAAGCTGCTTTAACAGTGCTTGTATACATAAGCAAAACTAAACTAAATGCCCTTGACTTACCCACTTCTCAGATTCCATTCTTTCTTTAACTTGCCATTTACAAACCCTCAACCTCAGCATCTGAAGCCAGGTGCTGGTAGTGCTCACAACTGTCATCCTAGCTACTCCGAAACTGAGATTTGAGAATTGTGTTTTGAAGCCAGTCAGGGGAGAAAAGTCCGTGAGACTCTTTTTAATCTCACAAGTATAAAGCCAGAAGTGGAGGTGTGGCTCAAGTGGTAGAGTGCCAGCCTTGAGCAAAAAAAAAAAAAAAGAGGTCAAGCAAGACTATTAGATTCTGAGATCAAGCCTAGTACCAGCAGAGACACACAGACACAGACAGACACAGACACACACACAGACAAACACAGACACACACACATCAAAACAAGATCAAAGCCCTTGAACTTGACAGCAGTAGGGCTGGACTGACTCAGGGCCCGACCAGTCCTGGCTGCAAGGTAACTGGCACAAGGGTCACCTCCGACAGCTATGGCTCCTTCGTGCCTGTAGTATTCAGACTCTTCTCCTAGGTACTCAGAGACACCTGTGTAGTTGTCATCGGCCACAATTACCCTTCTGTGTTACGGAACACTCAGGGCCCGCCTCACCTGCGCCCAGCACCCGGCTGTATCCATACTATGCCTCACAGAGATAGGATGGCACCGCAGGCCCAACAAGGGTGGCACAGGAGACCCCCCCAGTCCCCTGGGACCTGGCAGGCTCAGGCCCAGGGCAGTTCTTTCCAGAGAGGCCACCCACCTGAAGCACCAGGATGGCTGAGCAGCGAGGCCCGGAGGTTCTTCACCTGGAGTTTTAGTTCATGAGCCCTTGGAGGTTTGGGTGGACAGGATTCCTGAGCGGTGGATGAAGCGCGTCGGAGGTTCTACAGGTAAGAAGAATGAAGAGCAGTGCGCTGGGGGCGCCCAGGAAGCGGCCACGGCTTTGGCAGGGGAGGGGTCTGCAGAAACTCAAGCCCGGGGAACCTGAGCACCGGGTCCGCTCTGCATCAGTACACCTGACTCACGGGAGGTCAGGGCCCCAGAGCTGCAACCTCACCCCAGAGTGGGAACCTTTTCCTTCCCAAAGCACACACAAGTGGCTGCATAACCAGCCCGAGAGGCGACCTCAGGTCCAGCTGTGGCCAGAGAGTAGCAGCAGTTAGTTCCATGTGCTGACCCGGGGCTGGTACTTGGACAGCAAGGACCTCTGCAGGCCATGAGTCCCGTGTCCACCTCACCCTGTGGGCACTGGTCATGCATGGATGGCCATGGTCACCAGCCTGGGATTACTTCAGACAGCTCGACTCCGCCTGAGGTTCCCCTGAGAATCTCTGCACTGCACTGCACAAAGGACAGGGACAGTGCCCGGAGCAGGCACTGCTCTCGTCTTCTGTCCTCAAAGGGGCATAAAGGAGTTTCCAACAGCACACAGCTCAGATTTGAGGCATCCTGCACACCTGTGCTGGGCCGCCAGCCCCACTGGGCACAAGCTGATGCCTACATTCCTCAGATGGGCTCCTTGAACTCGAGCTTACAGGGGCACTGGGCTTTACCACGGCCTGCAGGTGGCATTCCTGGGTGCTGATTGGCCAGAACGCTGGAGAGGGACAGGCTTTAATGCCGCCAGGGACATCCTGTTCTGTAGGCACCATCTGGCACACGCTGTTCTGAACCAGGCCCTTCTCCGCTGTGAGTTGAGGCTGCGGGAAGGTCAGGAAGTGACTCTGTGTGTGTGTGTGTGTGTGTGTGTGTGTGTATACACAACAGTCCACAGCTTGAGGTGGGATTGGGTGGGATTCTCTCAAATGTGTAAGTGTGATGGCTAAGTTCAGGTGTCCACTTCACGGGGCCAGGCCTGCTCAGATATTTGTTTGAACTCCATGGTTGGGGGTGAATGGGAGGACAATTTGGATGTAAACTGTGAGGCTGAGTCAAGTAGACTGCCCTTCGTGGCACGGGCCTCATCCACTCAGCTGAAGGTCTGAATAGAGAAAGGCCAACCCACAGGCTGCATCTCAGAGCCTTCTGGTAACATACACACCCACTCTCTCCTCTCTCCACTCACCCGCCAGGTTTCCCTGGAGAACCCTGACCAAAGCACATGCTATTCTTATAATAATATTCTACAAATTCCTTTTAAAGCATTCCCAAACCCATGGGAGTTTTCAGTTATTGATTTACAATGATCTGAGGTTTGAACTCGGGGCTCACACTGTGAGGCAGGAGTTTTCCTGATGAGCCATGCCTCCAGCTCCTCTTATTTTGCACTGGCCATCTTTGAGATGAGTCTCATTTCCTGCCCAGGGGTGCAGCATGATCTACAGGTTATTTGAAGTGTCTCTCCATAGCTGGGGTGTGCTCCACTCTGCCTCGCTGCTTCTGCTCTGATGGACATTGGATGTTCCTGTCTGACCTGGAGCCACAATCCTCCCAAGCTTAGACTCCCACCTGGCTCAGACGCCCAGCTAGGGGCCTTGTAGATAACCCTGCAGGCAGGCCTCCCACCACAATCCTCCCAATCTCAGTATCTCAAACAGGATGACAGGCACCCACCTCGAACCTTATGTTTCACAGATTCTAAAGCTATTCTCTATGTTATGGACTTTCTCACATTTCAACCTTAACCTCACGGCCGGTCAGGGCCCTAGGCTCTGCAAGGATCCCCTGGGACGGGATTACTGGGAGGGACAGAGGGCAGGACGCCATCCTACTTCCTGGGATACAGGGCCGGCCCTGCTCCTTAGGAAAGTGAAGCTGCTGCCCTCCCTACCCCGCCATGAAGGTTGACAGCCCCTCCCTGTCAGGGACTGGGCTGCCCCTGCTGTCCCCTCCCGGAGGTGAAGTGGGGGTGTCAACGTGTCCCCACGTTTCCAGACCTTGGTACCCAGCATGTAGCCTAAACTCTTAGACCAACTGGCATGTGTCCCATGAACCAAGCAAAGCAGGAGACCATGATGGTCTCAGGAGGCAATGCTGGGGGCCCTGCCCACTCCCAGCCCGTGGAGCTCTGGGCGCCTGCACCCTGACTCTCAGTTCCTACCCTAAGGCCTTGTATGATGGTTCCCAGGCACCTTTGGTGCAGTCCTGGCTTCACCACGGAGGTGGAAGCTCTGGACATGCAGTCCCCAAGAGCTATGGCTATAGCCCCGCAGTACTCAGAAGCAAGCTCCTGGACCCCATAAGCAGCCGGACTTACCTGTGCTTCCTGTACATCCGTGGGCCTGGTGCTCAGAACCACTGATGGAGAGGCAGAGCTGACCAGATGCTTCAAGATGTCCTTGAGCACTTCAGATATGGCATCTGCCTCACCCGCCTGGGCCTAGGAGGTGAGAGAGAGAGGGGGGTGGACCTCAGACATGGCAACTGCCTCACCCGCCTGGGCCCGGGAGGGAGAGTCAGATCCGTCCATGCCCAAGTGCCGGGGTGCCTCTCGTTATTACGTAGATCTGATGTTATTACATAGAGCGGGAGCAGCTGGCTCGTGTCCTGGACTGCGGCTCTCCACTGGCCTGGGAGAGTGCAGAGCACAGCTCCAACAGCCAGCCAGAGAGAAACCCGACCCCTCACTCTGTCAGCCACAGACACAGATGCATTTGGCCAATGAACTCATGAACACAGGCCCCGAGTTCTAGAGGCTGAGACCCGTTGCTTGGACCTCATCAAGCTGTGCTGGCTCTGGACCCCAGGAGCCCCGGGTGATAAGCACTTGCTGCTGTCAGCTGCTGGGTCTGTGGATCTGTTATAACTCCTACAGGAAGCCATCAGGGTCCTGGTGCCCTTGCAGGGGGCTGTGAAGGGGTCAAAGGGCACCACCTGGGGAGCCAACCGAGGGCACTGCTTGAGCAGGGTGCTCGCTGCTCAGTGATGGGCACATGGTCACATCTCAATACAATCTTTATCAGGCATACGGGATCTATCATATATTTTGCAATGCGGAGGATCAAACCAAGGCTTTGTGCGGGCTAAGCAAGCATCTACCGCTGAACTCTGTCCCTGGGACTTGTTTTAATGAAATAGAGTCCTATAGCTCACGATGACCTTGAAGTCAGTATGAAGCTCAGGCTGGCTTCAGAGTCCTGTGGTCTGTCACCCTAATCCTGTTCCTTGGGCTTTCAGAAGTCAGTGTGCAGCCAATCTGTGCTGCCCTTGAATTGGCTGGCCAATCCTCTTCTCTGCCAGACTTCTTACAACAAAGTCAGTCCATTCATTAAAATTAGTTCTCTGCCAGGACCTCTAAACCACCAACAATCCAAACAGCTGGCATATGATATGGCACCAAGCCTGGTTGTATGCATTTACCTGTATTCATGAATTAAGCCTTGAATACCACTGTTGCCATCTTTCAGATAAGGAGCACAGAGAATCAGGGGCACAGAGAAGTCACTTAACATGTGCAGGGTCGCACAGCACATAAGCACAAGAGCCAGGAGTCAAATCCTTTCACATGGAAAGGCTCTGACAATCTACCTCTGAAGGCTGGTGAAGTTCACAGGGCACTAATGTCAGCCTTTTAAAGTGACATTCCATTGGCAAGCCACACACTTGCAATGCTGGAAACCTGTGCTCGTAAGATGTTGACATTTTCAGCACCTCCAAAAAGTCAACCTCAGACCCCAGCTCATCAGCCATCGCTTCTGTGATTACACACACACGCACATGCACATGCACACGCACACACACATACACAGCAACAAAGAGAGGGAAGAAACACATCACTGGATATAACAGGGGCTAATGAACCAATATCAAACAGGAACACACTACACAGAGGAAGAAATGATCTGAGTGATTTTTGGATGGGCAGGAGACATTCCTCCTGAGGGCAGGGCTGCCACCAGCGGCTCAGGCAGCTCAGGTGTGTGTCCTGTGGCAGGACAAACAAGTGGCAGTGTGAAGGATGGAGACACCAACACCAGAGGGAAGAAGAAAAATAAAAATGAACTTGAATGGGTGCTTATGCTACACGCTTTGTGTAAATGCACAGCCAGGCCCATATGACAACACTCGTGTGCACGTGCAAAAGAATACATTCAAGCGTGTTAGACAAACATAAAACAAATCTGGTGCCAACTGCTCATGCCTCAGCTACTCAGGAGACTGAGATCTAAGGATTGAGGTTTAGAGCTAGCCTAGGAAGACAAATCTGAGAGATGCTTATCCAATTATCCAGCAAAAAGCTGGAGGTAAAGGTGTGGCTCAAGTGGTAAGAGTGCCAGCCTTGAGCGAAAAAGCCAAAGGACAGCATGAGGCCTGAGTTCAAGCTCTAGAATCTACACCAAAAGAAAAAGGGAGGCCTATATCCAGAATAGACAGAGGCTTAAAAAATTGAACCCTCAAAGAAACAACAATCCAATTAATAAATGGGCTAATGAGCTAAAGGGAAACTTCTCAGAAGAAGTAAAAATGGCCAATAGACACACGAAGAAATGCTCAACATCTCTGGCTATAAAAGAAATGTAAATCAAAGCAACACTGAGATTCTACCCTACCCTAGCCAGTTGGAATGGCCATTATCAAGCAAACAAATGATAATAGTCGCTGGAAATGATGTGGTCAAAAGGGAACCCTAATACACTGCTGGTAGAAATGTAAACATGTTCAACTACTCTGGAAAGTAGTATGGAGGTTTCTCTAAAAATTAAACCATGAACTACTACTATGACCCACAATTCCACTCCTGGGCATTTAACAGAACACAAACAAGGCTAAAATAAAGCCACCAGCCCAACCATGCTCATTGCAGTACTATTCACCATAGCCAAAATATGGAATCAGACCAGATGTCACTCAATGGATGAATGGATCAAGACAATGTGATATATATACACAATAAAATTTTACTCATCCATTAGAAAAAAATGATATTGTACCATTTGTAAAGAAATGGAAAGACTTGGAAAAAATTATATTAAATGAAGTAAGTCAGGTCCAGAGAATGCATGTCTTCCCTCTTTTGTGGAAGCTAAAATTATCTACAAACCTATAAGTTAGGATTTACAAATGTATTAACTGAAATACAGCAGATTCTAGGGAGATTTTAAATAGTGTAATTATTAAGAAGGATAAAGTCAAAGCTCAACAAAATAAACACCAGGAAGTGGGTACTTGCAAGGGGTAAGGTGGAGTCAAGGGGAGAGAGTTAGCCAGATGAAGAAGAGAAGGGGTGAGTACAGGCAATAACTCAATGTATAGACTGCACAATTAAGAAAAGCAAGGGAAGAAGGGGTGACAATGACCAAGATGCATTGTATTCAAGACCTCCTTTGTTAAATGGCAACCCCTTTGTCCAACTAAAGATAATTTAAAAAATAAAAATTAAATAGAAGATTATCAGGTGAGGAATGCTCCACCTATACTTTCTTTCTTTTTTCTTTTTCTTTTTGTCAGTTGTAGGGCCTGAACTCTGGGCCTGGGCGCTGTCCCCCAGCTCTTCAGCTGTAGACCAGCAGTCTACCACCTGAGCCTCAGCCCCACTTACAGCTTTTTCTGCTTATGTGGTGCTGAGGAATCGAATGCAGGGCCTCATGCATGCAAGGCAAGCGCTCTACCACTGAGCCACCTTCCCAGCCCCATCTACCTATACTTTCATATTAATAAATTCATTTTAAAAAGACAAAACAAGGGGGCTGGGAAGGTGGTAGAGTATTTGCCTTGCATGCAGGAGGCCCTGGGTTTGATTCCTCAGCGCCACATAAGCAGAAAAAGTCGGAAGCGACTCTGTGGCTCAAGTGGTAGAGCACTCGCCTTGAGCTAAAGAGCTGAGGGATAGCGCCCAGGCCCAGGGTTCAGGCCCCACACTGACAAAGACAAAACAAAGCTGGGCACTGTTTAAAGCCAGCCTGGGCAGAAAAGTCCATGAGATTCTTATCTCCAGTTAGCTACCAAAAAGCTAGGAATGGTGCTGTGGCTCAAAGTGGTAGCGTGCTAGCCTTGAGCACTGAAGCTCAGAGGCAGCGCCCAGCCTCTGAGTTCAAGCCCCAGGACCAGCACCCAAAACAAACAACAAAACAACAACAAAAACACAACAATATTACGACATAAAGGGTAAAATATTTTCTGATAGTGCTGGGATGAGGCTTAGTGGTAGAACATTTGTTTAGATACAGAAGCCCTAGCTAGGTTCTGTCCGCAGGGCCACCAAAGAAAGGAATTAAATGGTTAAATTCATACATTTCAGCTGAACTCAGTACCTGAACGAGGCTAAAAGAGTCAAAGTACAACAACATTCCATGAAAGCCCCCCAAAAGCAACTTCCTGATAACCCAAGTCTTTTGAATAACTGCTTTTCTGCTTTTCCCAGCAAGGGGAAAAAAGCGTCACCCCAGTGCCCCTACATATCCGGTTCCTGCTCCCAAGTGTTCTCCCTCAAACCTTAAGACCTAGAGACATTGCCCTTGGCTTTGGATGTATCCTGCAGAAGTGACAAGAAAAACACAGCAGCCTTTGATGCTCTCAAGTAGGGCAACTGGCCAGGCCCGGGGAGCCGCTGCCATGAGTTCCCCGAGGTGGGGCTCAGCCTCAGAGGCACGCAAAGGCTGCCCAGGACAGTCCTAGCGTGCAAGGGGCTCGCACAGTGGGAGCGTCGCAGACATGGACTGACCTCCCTCAGACCCCGGGGCTGGATCCTAACGGCGGTTTCTGGCACGCTGATGAAGGACCACCTGATCTGGATGTCTTCTCTCTTCTCTTTCACATGGAACTCCAGCTAGGAAAACAAACAAACAAAGGTTACTGGACGGCTGGCTGCTCTTCCCTGCAGAGGCCTACTGGGCGCGCCTCTTATTCTCAGACAAGCGCTCACCCCCCTCTCGACCTCTGGGTGCTTTCCAAATGGGAAAGAGGACCCCAACTCCTCTCCGGCCTCTTCCTCTGACCAGCTGTTCTCTCAGGAAGGATCCTCAGCTCTGGCGGCTAATTTTTGAAATGAGTCATTTCACTGTGCTCCACATTTCTCTTTCTGGGCATGTCATCGAGACAGGAGGAAGAGGAAGGACCCTGCTGATCCCTAGTCCTGGACACAGACCTCCTCAGAGCCTCTGCGTGCACAACCCCTGGGAACTATGCCTGGATGAAGCAGAGCCCTCCTCTCCTGGGACCCTGGAGCCCTGGCTTTACTTGTGCCCATCTGACCCAATGCATCTGTGGGAGGAAGAACCCCCAAAGACGCCATACTCCCATCCTTGGAGCCTGTGCACCCAGGGCCAGACCCTGCAGAGGACTAGCCGGGACCCAGAGGTGGGCAGGGCTCCCTGGGCTCTTCAGGTGACCCAAAGGAATCATGGAAGAAGATGGTGGCAGAGAGAGCCCAGGGCCTGGCTGCAGAGGGAGGAAGGGGGGGGGAGGAGGGGGAGTAGGAGGAGGGGGAAAGAAGGAGCAGGAAGAAGAAGGAGAGGAGGAGGAGCAAGAGGAGGAGGAGGAGGAGGAGGAAGTGGAGGAGGAGGAGGAGGAGGAGGGCACCATGGGCCAAAGAGCATGGCGACCTGGAAGCAATTTGTACACTGTGTGAGGTACAGGAACCCAGGTCTCAGTCCTGAAACCCCTGGGAAACTGACCACCAATGCCACCAACGAGCAAGGAAGCGAGCTCCGCTGCGGCTGCAGACATGGCAGTGATGCCGGCCGCTGGGACAGCCACCTGTGCTGTCTGGGCTATTTAGCTTCAGCAGCAACTGCAAACAGGTTGTGTACTCCATCTCGGCCAGACACCCCAATAAATGCTGCGGCTGCCACATCTCCACCCCGGCCCCATCCCTGGGCAGAAGGGGAAGGGAGGGGAGGAGAGGAGAGGGGAGGGGAGGGGAGTATGGCTTCAGTTCTGTGACAATGCAGGACCAAGCCCACGCCAGAAGCAGCGAAGGAACAAAGCCTCCTTCGCCCTGCGACTACAGACAGTTCCAGAAAAAGTGTACTTTAATTTCACTGCCACAAGTAATCAGACTGTGTGTGCCACACGACTGGGCAGGTGGGTGGGCACTGGTTCTGACGGCAGCACCTCCACGCACTGCTGAGCTGAACAGCCATGGAAGCAGATGCCAGCCTCCACCACGACACCCAAAACTCTCCCACCTTGAGCAGCTGCCTGCTCTCGGGGGAAACCCGCACGTCGCTGCCGGACTGTGCCAACACACCTGTACCCCTTCTGCCCATGCTGAGGGGGCACCGAAGCTGTGGCACAAGGAGCAGCCTTGGGTTGGCACTCCATCGGCGTGCGCGTGACCCAAGAGCTCTCTCAGTTCAAAGCACACATCAAATGCTGGGTAAGAATGTCCGAGGCATCACTGCCCAGGAGCTGTGGGTGTGTACATGGGCTAACACAGGACAGGTGTGTGGTATGAGCTCTCAGCTGGGGTGAGACTGGGGGTAGTGTTCACACAAAAGCCACGTCAGAGTCTGTGGGGGCAGGGTGTTTATAAGTTTGCCTATGAAAGCAAAGCCTGTAGCTGGGAATTCTGTACTTTTTATTTTTTTATTTTTTGTTGGTCGTGGGGCCTCTCTGGGCCTGGGCGCTGTCCCTCAGCTCTTCAGCTCAAGGCGAGCGCTCTACCACATGAGCCACAGCGCTACTTCCGGCTTTTTTCTTTTTGCTTATGTGGTGCTGAGGAATCGAACCCAGGGCCTCAGGCATGCAAGGCAAGCACTCTACCACTGAGCCACCTTCCCAGCACCAATTCTGTACATTTTGACTCATCTTCAAAATTAGAAGTCAGGTTTAAGGACAGAGGAGATGAAATACGAGGTCCAGTCAGTGGTGACTGCTACAACAAGCCCGGAAATGTGCAGTTTCTAAACACTGGCTAAATGGAAGCATTTGGAGAATGTTCTGCTTAATGTAAGAGAAGCACAGTCATAACATGAGCATCTAGAAGTTTCTCTAGGTCTATTATAGACATATAATATTATAGACATATAATAGGTCTATTATAGACATATAAACCTATATGTATGCTGGGCGCCGGTGGCTCACGCCTGTAATCCTAGCTACTGAGGAGGCTGAGATCTGAGGATCACGGTTCATAGCCAGCCCGGGCAGAAAGGTCCGTGAAACTCTTATCTCCAATAAACATTCAGAAAACCAGAAGTGGCATTGTAGCTCAAGTGGTAGAGCATTCGCCTTGAGCTGAAGAGCTGAGGGACAGTGCCCAGGCCCAGAGTTCAAGCCCTATAACTGACAAAAAAAAAACTATATGTATGTATTATATATTATATAGATAAGTCTCATTGTGAATCTATTGTCAGAAAGATAATATGATTTTTTAAAGTATTTCAAAGAAAAGATAGCATTTCGTTTTCAACTTTTCACCAGGAATTTATTTCTTATTATCTATCAGCATATTGCACCAAATCTTAAAGACAAAAGACACTGGACATTAAAAAAGAGACCTACCCCATCTTGGATCCAGTGCAGATACTTTCCTTCTTGTGTGTACTCTGCTAACATTATTACAGAAACCAGACAGGACCCTAGTTTCTGCGATTTTAGCACAGTGAATTTTTTAACTTACAAGAATAAGGAGTTAAGGAGCCTTTTTTCTTTTTTTCTCTTTTGTGCCAGTCCTGGTGCTTGAATTCAGGGCCTGCCTGGGTGCTGCCTCTGGGCCTTTTGGCTTAACATTAGTGCTCTACCACTTGAGCCACAGCTCCACTTATTATTAGTTTATTGAAGATAAGAACTGCACAGACTTTCCTACCCAGGCTGGTTCTGAAGGGAAATCCTCCGATCTCAGCCTCCTGAGTAGCTAGGATGATGGTGTGAGCCATTGGTGCTGAGCTCTTTTTCTTCTTTGTGAGTGTGGAACTGGAGATTAAACCTAGGACTTACTCATGCTACACACTCTATCAATGCACTATTTGTAGGTTTTTCTTTAAATTTACTTTGTACCTATACTGGGCTTGAATTTAAGGCCTGTCCAGGGGATTGTCCAGTAGCTTTTTCATTCAAGGCTGTAACTCTACCAGTCACAATTTCACCTTTGCTTTTTGGTTAACTGGAGACAAGAGGCTCACAGTCTTTTCTTCTTGGGCTGGCTTTGAATCACAATCCTCAGATCTCAATATCCTGAGTAGCGAGGATTATAGTTATGAGCCACCGGTGCCAGGCTAGTTTTAAACCTGTGATCTTCCTGCTTTCACCTCCAGAGTGGCTGAGATTACAGGCGTATGATCATCATGCCTAGCTTGGATTGTTGTTATTCTTTTTTTAAGTTTAGTTTCCCCAAGATTAAGGAAGCAATGCCCAGCCCATATGCTCTGCTGTCTCTCTAAGATAACAACATGACTGGTAATTAATTAGTAAAAGCACGCCATTCATGGCCCCTCACTCACCAGAGAAAGCACAGGGTGACAGGTTTGCCCGGCCTGGCCACTCTACCCAGCCTTACCTGTAAGTGGATCGGCGAGAGGCGCACGTCGTACAGCTGCTGCCCTGGGCTGGCGGCCGAGGTGGGCTCTGCGGTGACCAGGAACTGGAGGGCCTCACCCACCACGTGGCACATCACCACCTGGAGAAGGCACAGCGACAGGTAGACACCACAGGAAGCATCTGCCTTCCTTCACGGAAGCAGCCTACACCTCCTCTGCTCTGGAGAAGGCACAGCGACAGGTGGACACCACAGGAAGCATCTGCCTTCCTTCACGGAAGCAGCCTACACCTCCTCTGCTCGTGAAGACAACACCTGAAGGGTTTCAGACTTAGACAAGTCCTCAGAGTGCTCTTTTTTCTATCACAGGGTAACCCGAAAACTAGAGGCCTCGCTTCCTGAAGAATTTCTCGGGAGCTAAACTCTGTCCTGATGCAATCTACCTGTGACTGCTCTTCACACCAAGTTTTTCCTTTAAAATTCTGATTTGTTATTTTTCCACTCAAAATAAGCCTTAAGAAAATAAGTCACAGGTGTTACAAGTAAAAAATTCACCCAAGGAAGTGGCGCTGTAGCACAAGTGGTAGAGCGCTCGCCTTGAGCTGAAGAGCTGAGGGACAGCGCCCAGGC